GTGATACTACCTGGGTGACCAAACCAAAACAGGTGATTTTCCTAGAAGGTCACATCCGGAGCCTTCGACCCAAAAGTCTGATCCATAAGGCAGTGGAACATTGTAAGGAGATACAGTCTCATGATGGCCGGTGAACAACAATTGGTTCATACCCCATTTGTTCCTTCAGGATCCTGAAGCCTATGTACACTATTGGTTTGGAATGAGGATTTTCCAACTCCTCTAGGTGGACTCTTCGTTTCCACCAACCCGGTTAAAGCTCTGGACATTCGCTTTTCGTCCTCTCAATTTCGTAAACAACGCCCCCCGCCACGAAAAGGCGGTGAGTAGGACTTCCATGGCAGAGGCCATGTGAGAGTATTTGGAGAGAGTTGACTCTCCCCACTCTCGGCCGTACCAGGGCACTTGGGGGCCTTGGGGTAAGTATATAATCACGATCATTTAGTAAGTAGAATCATATAATTAATATTTTAACAATTGAAATTCTTTTAATGTATAAAAAAGTTTTTTAGGCCATTTTAAATGATAACTTGATCATTAGAGATATATTCGTATTTTTCGAGTACCATTTAACAAGATGAAACTTTGAAAGATCAATCTTAGATGTTGATCTATTGATAAATACATTTAAAAGATAGAAGGTTATAGTGAAGTTATTCTCCGAAGGATAAATGATTAAAACTTGATGATGCTCTGAAAGGTTATTTTCTTCTATATTTCTGAATGTTGAACAATCACCAACTTCTTGTTGTTTTTTATTTCTTTGAATCCGGGTAAACTATAATTAATGTTTTTCACACATCTAATGATTACTTCAAGGTTCAAAGATAAATTGCTTAGACTAGCTACCTATCTCTAACTTTTAGTTCAAATACTGAATTGACCCATGCAGAACTCAATGGTTTTTTCTGGAAGAAATTATAGATTAGTACAATCATAAAGTATCATAGTTATTTCCGAATATCTATTTAGTTCCTAATCCATTAAGCAGAACAACATTCATCCAGTATTCAAATTATTCTGATCTGTTTAATAGAATCAGTAAATCGGTGTAAATGGTTTCTAATTACTAAAATCGATCAGTAGCACATTTTTTTATTTTCAATGGTTATCTTCGTAATAATAATGTATTTAAAGTATAGTTTAAGTGATAACTTCTAAAATTCCTCACGAAATACCCCAGTTTCTTTTCTTTCAACGTTATTCTATTATTATTATTATTATTATTATTATTATTATTATTATTATTATTATTTAAGAGTTATTAGAATGTTATTTTGTGAGTTTTCACAAGTGCTTAACTGAGTTACACAGTACTAACGTAGACTGACTATTGACTTTATTAGTTAATCAATAAAGAAAAGTTGTTGAGTACACAACTTGTATTCAGGTTTGTACCTACAGTCCTCTTATTTACGTCTAAATAATCAGCTGATAACAATAATCTTCATACAAAAATTGTATACATTGAACTGATTACACTAACCATTAAACATCTCATATAATACTTTAATTACTTTTTGTATTTTCTATTGATAGACACAAATACTCCACTATTTCTCCGTTACTGTTACAATATCCACATGAGGTCATATATAATTCCCTCTTTCTAGAAATTCTAATTAAAATAATCCAAGATCATAAGTACTTTCTATCATTATTTCATTACATAGTTTACAGGATTAAGAAACCAAATTACTAAGGAACAATATAATACAATTTATATATCTCAGTACATATATAGCCAGTATATGTAAGTTTTGACAAATGCACAATGGGACGAAACGACCATCCAGTGCTTCCAGGTTTTCAATGGTGGTCTAACATCAATCAGTTCATGATCTTAATCAAAAAAAAAGAACAATAGTCAGTTTCATTGATATGCAGTTACTAAAAGTATCTGAAATTGATTTATTGAATAAAAACATAGAAATCATTCAATAACTGAAATGGATTTGACAGAAACAACAATATAAAGAAGAAAAAAATGTATTTGTAGAAATCTCAACGAAAGAATTTGAAGTAATTCCAATGATTCACCTGATAATCTGGTTCAAGCTTTTTCAAGGAAATACTTGAAATTACTTCAAATTCTTTCGTTGAGATTTCTACATATACATTTTTTTTTCCTCTTTAATGTCTTACATTAACTCAGCACTCAAATATTGTGAAACTATTCAATCAAATTTAGATGAAAGTTCTTATTTATTATCCTGTAATATAGTTATTCGTTAGCTGGAATACTGAATCAATCTATCTGATACATTAAACGTTATTGTATATAGATTTAAATACTTCATTACTATACTAGTGAACTTTATTGCTCATTTATTGAATATCACCTGAAGCATGTGAAAATGAATACAGACCATGTAGTTATTCAATGAATATTTATTAAACTTTTAGTATATATTGCACAATAATGTGAATAAAGGTTAAGATGGAAACATATTTTGAATCTTAGATGTGTTTATTTCAACAGTTTGTGTATACTTTATTAACTGAATGATGTACAAACTTGATTTTTTGAAATGGATTAAACCATTTAAAAACTGATAATAATAATTAATGTGACATATGTTATGAAGTAATTCGAATATACATTCTCACTGAATAGATTCACAACCTAATTGATGAGTTTTACAGTTTAAGACTTAGAAAAAAGTAGGAATATTCAGTAGTTCATTCAACATAGTATAGGTATGAACTAAATAACACTTTTGATGGTGTTTTGTTCCCTCAGCTGGATGGTTTGGTCGTGGAGCTTTCATCGTTCTTCTGAACGACATCATCATCACAAACTTCAGATAGAAGTGAAGTGTTCAAATTTCTCCACCATCATTAAAGAACACACTACAGAATCTCCCTCCCCCCCCCAAAAAAAAATAATAAGTATTAAAATTCCTTCAATATTGTAGGTAAATCTTGTTGGTACATGCCAATTAGTACAAAACCTATCAGATGAGATATCTTGATAATTAACTTCATCAAGCATCAGCTGTGTTAATACTCTCTGATAGTTATTGTTTCTAGACCTTATGTCAGATTGTGACTAAAATTATATCCGAATATTTCAATCGTTCAAGTTATTGATGATAATACACTTAGTAATGTAAAACATTTTTATTCAGTAGTTATAATTTATACGATACCATATTTTAATAATACAAATCTTCATAGAAAAATTGAATTGGAAATGTGATGAGTATTTTTAAACATTTTATTGATTAACTATAAGTAAACAATTATTTTTCCCCTAATAGTTGCTAAGGCAACTAATTGAATTTCTTCTATCTATGTATACATGTCATATGATCGATCGGGTGTATCATAAAAAATAAACAAAAAAAGTATTCAGAAATGAATTATTATATTAAAGGTAATTTAATGAATGTATCCAGTTGGATATTGTTTACAGTGAATGGGATATTGCTATTATTATTATTATTATTATTGACTTTATTCGTGCATACAATTTATTATTGACTGTAATGACAATAAAGTGACGTCAGAGTGATTTCATATGCATTATGAATAAGAATACTCAAAAGATCATTAATCTTTATTAATGCATGAGTACTTCTAGACACTGTCAATATACAAATGTATTAAATAACTAAAGATTTTAAGCATGAATTCATCAAAATTTAACTTCTTATCATTAGACTTTTAGTACGTGTATTGATAATTTCAATAAAATAAAAATCTGCTTATTATATGGGAACTTAATATATTCTTTTTTAAATGAACTAACGAATCGATGAATTTTAGACCACCATTGGAAACCTGGAAGCATTGGACGGCCGTCTCGTCCTATTATGGGACTCGTGAACAGTGTGCATCCACGATCCTACAAATGGAAATCGAACCCTGGACTTTCGGTCTCTCGCGCGAACTTCTTATTTCGTTAGATTATAAGGTGCTGTGGTAGTTGTTGGATATATTAGATTACATCGGTAAAAGATCTTGATTAGATAGTGAATGAAACTAAGAAAGTACTAGACAGTCGTATTATCCTAGTATTGAACTCCTTTCAAGTGTTTACTCACAACTTGACTGAGGATAGGACCCAGAATCTTTAGGTTTCGAGATTAGCTTTAAATTTTTAGACCACTGAGTTAGTATTTATTGATTTATATCCCTAACATTAAGTAATACACAATATTGAGGAACCATTTTCCTTTGTCTTCAGTGAGTAAATGATCAATTCAAGAGTTCATTGAATATCTGAATAAATCTTTTGAATCACTGAATTTTAAAGGTTTGTGTAGTCAGTAGTCTCATCCTCTACATCCATTTACTAACCGATGTTTTAATAGAACTGGAAATTTTCACAACTGTAGAAATAAACTCGTACTTTAAACTCTTCAAATATTAGATTACTGGGTTTTTTTCACATTTTTCGTATTTCCACTTATCAGTAAAAATATGTTTCTTCTCTTTTTTTCATATAATTTTAAGCAATGACTTGATTGTCATAGTAACCATTTATGATTTATATAACTGATTAAGCAATCAAATCTATGTTGAGAATGAGTCGGTTACCCACTAAAGACATAGTGATAATCAAGTAACATTCTGAGTTAATTTGAATTGAATATGTAAACCATTAGATGTCAATTCATCGGTCAAAGGTTATGAGACCTAAACATCTTAGAGTTGATCACCATTAGGATTGTAAACATTCACTACTAAGGAGTTCCAGATTGTTCAGTAGTTTATTTTCACTGATTTTCTAAGTCCGATATGTGAACTAATAATATTTAACAGTCTTCACAAATCATGTACATTACGAATAGGAAATCATGTTGTTGTTTCTTTTTTTAGAAATATAATTAAATGCCACAGAAATCAAGAACTGTGGAATTAAAATAGAAAGTTGAAACGAACAGTATAGACACAAATCATATTAGAAAAAAGTGAATAAAAAGAAGATCAAATCTTCAGCGAACATCATATATATCTTCTGATTTCTCCTTAACAAAAGTATAATTTTAAAAATGGCAAGTTTTATTGCAAAACAACTAATCGGAAATCAATTGGATTCAGTAAAAGGTATGTATTTCTGTTTTGAATAATTGTCATGTTTTAAACCTGGAAGCACTGGATGGTCGTTTCGTCCTATTGATGGACTCCTCAGCGGTACGCATCCATGACCTCGCCTCTCGAGAATTGGACCCAGGACCTATCAGTTTCGCGAGCAAACGCTTATCCTCTAGACCACTGAGCCGGCTGGCATCCAATGGTGTTAATCTCTAACTTCAACTAATCCGCCAAATTGCGACACATACACCATTATTTTCAATGAATTACTATCTCATAACAGACCTGGTTGAACTCCACTAGTCACTACATCTCACTAGAACTCCAGGAAATACGTCTTGAATCCAGTCACTAGTGAGTTTGTCACGTTAGCCAGTCACGTAGCAAAATTACTACAATCTTCACAAAACCCGTTCTGATACTTACCTAAATTCATTTTTGCATTGTTTGTTTACAAACAGTTCAATCAAGTTGTCCTTTAAGTTCACGACTAATTGATTAGGTACAATCAATTGTGAATAGATGCCAAAGATTTTTGCAAAGATTCTGAACTCCCCAATAGTGGTATAATTTGCTTACTATAATTTTCGAAGAACATATTTTCTATAGGGAATTCGATTATGTAATATGGCATATGTAATATATTTCCCAAACACCTTAGTCAATAACAGTTCACTGCTTCCTCAATGTATCACACTGCATCAAACTTCAATACTGCTAACTCAACAATTATTCCGTGTAGGAATTGACTTAATTCAACCTAACCAGAAAGCAATATCCTTAGTTTACAAAAATCTAACCAATTAAAAAAAGATTCACATAAATTCCTCTTTAAGGCTGCTTCACATTGCGGATAGTAAAATTTCAACTGGGTCCAACTTATTATTATAACTTCAGAAATTTCCGCCTGAAGTTAGCCTCTAGTGATTAAATGACAATTATCGGTGTGATGATTTGTGCAGATCATTGAATGTTATTGAAATCAAGAGCTGATTTAAGATACTAATCGAAAACAACGGAATAAGTTTGAGCAATATCGCGAATTGGTTAAATTTAAATATGTAAACCACTGGATACCAGCTCAATGATAAAAACTTAAATATCAGTATGGGGGTTTTGGAGATTATTAAGTTTTTGATTGGGATCATGAAAAGAATGATGTTAGACCACTGTTGGAAACCTGGAAGCACTGGACGACCGTTTCATCCCATTGTGGGACTCCTCGGCAGTGCGCATCCACGACCTCGCTCGCGGAATTCGACCCCAGGGCAGTCCAGTGTTTCCAGGTTTCCGACGGTGGTTTAACATCAATCGGTTCATGATCTCAATCAAAAGCTTAAATGTCTACTGCGACACCTGAATTTCCTACGTTCAATTTCCTTTGAGGCACTGGATACTCACTTCTTTGGAGTTTCATACTAGGACTAAACAGCTGTCCAGTGCGTCCTGGTTACCACTTTAGAGATTTTTATACAACATTTTTCTAGTTGTTCATAATACTAATTTTCTATTTCTTGTTTGATATCAATTTTCAAGGTGCATTAGGTGATAAGAAAGACGAAGGTGAAGGTGTTTTAGGTGGACGTAAAGAAATTGATCCAGAAGTTGAAGCGGCATTACGTGAGGCAGAAGAGAAAAGAGAAGCTAAACATCGTAAAATGGAAGAAGAACGAGAAGTGATGCGTCAAGGTATCAGAGATAAAGTAGGTTATCTTTTGTGGTATAGTATCATATTTATTACCTAGAGGTTGATTTTTTGCACCATAACTATGCTAGATTGACAATCATAAGTAACCCTCAAAGAGACTTTAAATAGAAGCGTTTTGAATACAGAGACCAATAGTTATGAGTTTGAAGTGATTGAGAAAACACGTAGTTCATATAGACGCCTCTAGTTATATTGTATTATTTGGTCTGAATGACTTTATTGGGAAGTCTTCATCATTAGCGGTAATTTCATATAAAAGTGAACTGTTTTGTTGGCTATTCCACGTATGTTAAAACAGTTAGTTCTGATGACCTTATTCATGATTGATTACTTCCGTAGGTTTTGTTGTCATCATTTGTCTTTGCATTTCATTCCTTTTATTTGGTTGACCTCTAACCAAATATTTGATTGGCTCTTTTTGTATGAGTTAGTACATCGTATCTATGTAAGTATGTAGATTGACTTAAATGGTATGTTTATAGATATTCTCAGGGATTTTTGAAAGTTTATCGATTCACAATGTTCACGTTTTCTCAAACTGAATTCATGTCCATGGTTATCTTAATCCACTGGTGCATTTATATGTAAAAATATACTATACATTTGTACTATTATTTTTGATTAGATATGAAAAGGAAACCACTTTGTCCTATGAAATATTTTTCGTAGTTTATGGAATTTATTTTGTAGATAGTACTGAAATTATGAGAAGGGGTTTTGTGGATATTATAATAATTTAGTAGTTGGATTCATGGGTCAATTGAAGCTAAACTACCACGGAAATCCTGGAAGCACTGAATGGTCGCTTCGTCCTACTATGGAACGCCTCAGATGTGCGCATCCACGATCCTGCCCATAGCGAGGTTCGGACCCAGGACCTATCAGTCTCGTGAGCAAACGCTTATCCTCTAGACCACTGAGTCGGCTGGCATCCAACGGTGTTAATCTCTAACTTCAACTAATAAACCAAATTGCGACACATACACCATTATTTTCAATGAATTACTATCTCATAACAGACCTGGTTGAACTCCACTAGTCACTACATCTCACTAGAACTCCAGGAAATACCTCTTGAATCCAGTCACTAGTGAGTATATGTTGATTAATATCAGAAGGGGTTTTATGGATATTATAGAAATTTAGGAGTTGCAAACTAAGACGAAACGGCCGTCCAGTGCTTTCAGATTTTCCATGGTGATGGTGTGGCTTCAATTGACCCATGAATTCAACTACTAAATTAAAATCCAAATGTTTTGTAATACAATCTTTAAATATGATTTCATTCTATCAGTTTAACAAAACGATTGAATAAAACATGTAAAAATCCGCAATGGATTGTATCCAATGGTTATCTACTAATTTTACGTAATGGCTAAGATTGGAATTTGTGCTAAGGATTTTACAAATTACCTCAAAAGTCTGTTTTTATGTTCTTCACTGTATCAAACTAGCATATAATGCAAAAAATTACGAGTTATTGAACTTAATTGTTACATAACTTTCATTCTATCCGCTTTAGCTTACAACTTTAGGACTATGGTATAGAATCATACATAGGGGCTTCTGCTTAACACTTAGTTTAAATAATGAGACCGAATAAGAATATTAGCCTAATGTCATCATTTGTGTTGTAAATGTTTTAAAGAAATATCGGCTAGGACTGATGAATTACTAGCTTCCAAATTTAACTTTCCCGCAAACCATATTATTACTAGTGGTGTTTTGAATAATAGGTACTTCCGTGGTCTGCAGATGTCAAAATACATCTGAATATGATTGCTAAATTGCTATCCATTTATGTTGATTACTTAGTGCTTTAGCAACTGTTAACGCAAAAGATTTGGGATTTTTAGTGAGTAGTCAGAGCCATCAATATATTTATTGAGATCTATGGTGGAAGCCACGGCTTGTGTAACTGTCAGCGACTCTAATCTATGATTTGTCTAAAGAACTGAAAAAGATGTTGAAGAACCTGATTAGACCACATGACTAATGTATCAACTCCAAAAAATTCCTAGCAGATATAAAAAAATGCTATTAAACAACGGCGAAATAATAATCTCAACGCCACAGTTCTAGTCTCCTCAGTGTGTACGAAACGCCTTGAATATATAATATCATAACTGCTCAGCAACGAAGAACCCTGACAATATACAAAAATGCAGTGTTCGAGTTCGATAGAATTTACATATCAGTACTACTCAATAGTTAGATTCACAAGCAAGTCAAAGGGACCAATAATCAACCCAAAGATTTGAATACATTGCGTAGATGACCTACGTGCTATCTCCAAGAGATATAAATTTGATAATACACACAAGTTTATCAACTATATTTCCACTGTCATAGAATTTACTATAGAATAAATATCAGTAAATAAAATTCTGTTCTTAAGGGTGTTAATCAGTGAAACACATACAAGACCTTGAAAACTATTGGTATAGAGAAAGCCGAGCCTGAGATTAAGCATTAAATTATAACCATCAAAAGCAGAAATGCACGAAACAAGCTGTGTGACATGTTATTCAGAAAAACCGAAATCCTCTTCAGAAATCGAAATGTTTGAAAATATGAAGAAATCTCTCTTCCGATTCACCCCAATCTTCATGTTTATTTTCTCAACTTTGTCAAAAATTACCTAACTAGAAGAAAATCATCCTCAGGAACAAGAACACAGAGTATTCGATAATGTGTAGAAAAAGATCTTAGAAAACGTGATATGGATTTCGAAATCACTCGAAATTAAAGTCAAATCAAAATAATCACTACTTCATTTTACGTAGGCTGAAAATTATAACTATAAATGAAGACAATTTCAGTACTTCACTAGTGAAATTCACGAGTCAGTTGAAGCTAGACCACCACCATGGAAAATCTGAAAGCACTGGACGGCCGTTTCGTCTTAGTTTGCAACTCCTAAATTTCTATTATATCCATAAAACCCCTTCTGATATTAATCAACATATACTCACTAGTGACTGGATTCAAGAGGTATTTCCTGGAGTTCTAGTGAGATGTAGTGACTAGTAGAGTTTAACCAGGTCTGTTATGAGATAGTAATTCATTGAAAATAATGGTGTATGTGTCGCAATTTGGTGGATCAGTTGAAGTTAGAGATTAACACCGTTGGATGCCAGCCGACTCAGTGGTCTAGAGGATAAGCGTTTGCTCGCGAAACTGATAGGTCCTGAGTCCGAACCTCGCTGTGGGCAGGATCGTGTATGCGCACATCTGAGGCGTTCCATAGTAGGACGAAGCGACCATTCAGTGCTTCCAGGATTTCCGTGGTAGTTTAGCTTCAATTGACCCATGAATCCAACTACTAAATTATTATAATATCCACAAAGCCCCCCTCTGATTTGAATTTTAACTATTATAATCGGTTATTACAGTTCAAATAAAATAAATTTGATTTAAATTCTTTTTCTAAATCCGATAATAATTTACATCAGATACCAGTCAAAAGAACAACAATTTTTTAGTTTTAGCAATAAGTTTGACTTTCTTCCATCATTATTTATAATTTAGTTTACTTTTAAAATTACGATTGCTGCAAGCCATATGAATAAGGTAAAGTGGGAAATTCTTTTGGGATTAAACGTGTGTCAATTTATGCAACCATTTATTGTATACAATTCTGCATTTTGACGTATTTTCTCCATACATTCATTTATGTTTCTAGTATGGTATTAAGAAAAAAGAAGAAGAGGTTCCAGCTGATTTCGACTTTTCTAGTCCTGAAGGTCGTCTCGGTCGTAAACGTAAAACTCCAGCTGAACTAGCGGCTGAGGCAAATGAAGCAGAAGATGAAAACATTTTAACAAGTAAATTTATGTATCTGTATTATGCTACTGATCTATATGTTAGTAGTATATTGAATAGTGCGGGATGTTTTTTTATTAACTAAAATGTTTGAGTAGGGGTTTTGTGGAGATTGTAGTAACTTCAATAGTTGAGATCATGAGTCAATTGAAGGTAGACCACCATGTAATACCTTGAAGCACTTGACTACCATTTCCTCCTAGTATGGGACCCCTCAGCAGTGCGCATCCACGATCCAGCCTCGCGAGAATCGAACCCAGGACTTATCGGCCTCGTGCGCCGTCGTGTGCTCCTACGTTTTTTATGGTGACCTAGCTTCAATTGACTCATTATCCTAACTATAAAAACGTATGAGTCGAAATGCGATTGCCCAAAAATAACTATTTCCATCATTCTAGAACTTACGGGATTTCCTACAGTAGACGACTATTTAGATTAAAATCAATCTTTTAATATTTCAACTTTAGTTTTCGAATAATTTACACCATGCTACTCTCTAGTTCTCATTGAAATTTAATACGTATTCGCAATCAGAAAAAGAATTTTCAGCAATTTTAGGGAAACACATGATATTTTGTGGTGAGTAGAATAAATAAGTAATAGAGGGAGTCAATTATTCCGGCTGGAGTGAAGCTATTGTAATCCTGTAAAAACTGACTGCCAGAAACTAGCCATAAATATTAAGGCGGGATATTTTCTCACTGCCATAGAGTAGCTTAATTTTAAAGAATCATTAATCAGTCGTTATATAATAAGCCTTAGTGTTCGCAAACTTGATGCTTCTACGTGAATCCAGTGGCAAGACTATAAACACTTATCTCGGGTAGACATTAATGTTTATATGAAGGCTAGTATCTAGTATATCAAACGCTGGAGTTATAAGAATAAATATCAGTAGGAGGTCAAGAAATAAACGGCCATATCATGAGAGTCTATTGTCCGTATAATTATCTCTGTAAAACCGTTTTGTTGAAAGTCTCATAAGGCACTCAGATTCTCAAAAGTGAATGTGAAGTATTGAGTTAATTGAATCGAAAATGAGACAGTTACTGATCATTAGTACTGAATAAGGATTCTACTATAACTGAGTGAGTGGTATCATGTTCAAGTTGATGGTTCCAGTATAGAACTATCAATGAAAAATCCTGAGGCTTCAAAAGCTCGAATGAAATGATTGGACATTTATCCATCGTTTCCCCTTCCGATATCAGTATATAACCAAGGCTATTCAAGAACCTTTTTCACCCCTAGACTGTCACTTTATCCTATTATGTATCGTACTGAATTCCCAAAGTTAGTTAAATGGCTATGATCTTTGACTATCGAGTATACTGTAATACTATCTAACCAACTCTATTTACATCAGTTTGAATGTGACACTTATCACTTTAATCTACAACATACAATTAGTTAATCTCTCAGATTGATTCAGAAACCATCGTCTAGTAATCAGCATAGAGTTGTGGAGATTATCATGTTTTTAATTGACATCATGAACCGATTGATGTTAGATCCCCATTGAAAACCTGGAAGTACTGGACGGCCGTTTCGTCTTATTGCGGGACTCCTCAGCAGTACACATCCACGATCCCGCTAGCTGGATTAGAACCCAAGGCCTTCAGTCTCGCGCGCAGACGCTCAACCTACTAGACCATTGGGCCAGCATTCAACGGTATTAGTGTCTAACCTGTACCAATCCTCAAAATTGCACGACCATATTCCATTGTACTGAGGTAGATACCTATCTCTACCCAACACGAATTAGCTGGGTTCGAATCCCGCGAGCAAGATCGTGGATGTGCACTACTGAGGAGTCCCATAATAGGACGAAACGGCCATCCAGCACCCCTGGGTTTTGAATGGTGGTCTAACATCAATCGGTTCAAGAGCTTAATCATTATCTAGTTTTTGAATCCCATTTTGTAGTCATATTGTAGTGAACAAGAACACGAGTGGGGACAATTGGATGTAATTGACAGTAAATTGCAGAGCATCTCAATAAAATCCGAGAACCATGTAGTGAATTGTTAATTTTGCAACATATCAATCCATCATATCAAAATTAACTGTTCCTGTTGCAATCATCAATCCATTGTCTCAGATTTGATTGTTCATAGGTTTTCATATCAATTACGTTCCATTCTCGTTCTTTCCTCATCGACCTTCTACTTAAATACATTATATGCCTAACCACCGTTATATACTACTTGTGTGGATATAAGTAACCCACATCACAATATAACAGTAGATAAATTATTTTTATCAATTCATTGATGATGTTCTCATATATATATATATATCCTTACTATCATCATTTCTAGGTATGTTACCAGAAAATATGAGAAATATGGCTAATAAAGTAACTGAAGTTCCAGGGAAAATAATTTCAGAAGCTAGTGAAAAATGTCTTCTTATGTGATTATTATCATCTAAAAAACGAAAAAAAATCAAAACTATCATATACTTTTAAACAAATATAAACATGTATAATCATGTCAATATAAATCTCATCAAAAGTAATTCTGGCATAGTCAATATATACATACATGTCACTATGTTAAACAGACCATAGTAATGATAACAAGAAAGAACTTCATTATTCCTGATTGAATCGTTTATTTATTTATTGATTTATTGATTTTATTCTAATATTGTAATACAAAACTGTGTGACCATTTCAATACATGAAATGATTAATTAACTCCTTCTACTTATATATATAAATTAAATTAGTGCCTGATATTGAAGTTATTCATGTATGTTTATTGTATACATAGAATTATCATCATAAATACAAAAAAAACAAAGCAATTATAAACCTTATCTGCACATATATATTCCATGTGTTTAATCTTTGTTTATTAATAGTCTATTTGTTTAGTTATATCATAACAAATTGTATGTAGAATAATAGAGATTTCATTGATTACGTAACTAACTAACTAACTAATTAATTAATTAATTAATTAATTAATTAATTAAATCACTTTTCATTAATTTTAATTTCTTTCTTTCATTGATTTCTTCAATTATATAATAAATTAGTAAATAAACTCAATTATAATTTAATTAATTCATTAATTGTATCATTTATTCATGCATACAAATATACAATCAAAACAAACAATTAAATAAATAAACTGTAATAATTGAATATATTACATCATTATATTCATATTTCATTTCATAATTTTAATTATTTTCTAGATTGATGATTACATAATAATTGACTATTGATTTTGTTTATTTATTTCATTTATTTATTTCATTATTTATTGATTCAAACTATTTGAAACGTTTATTATTCACATGACAACCATAAATTAATGGAATTTAAAATCAATATAAAAAAAAGAAAAAAATCAAAAAAAGAGAAAAATAAAAAAAACTATCATAAACTGTGAACCATGCATAATTCGAAACAATGGCGGATTCATTCTATTTGAAATTTTAAACAAAAATGAATGACCCATTGTCTGTTCATAAACAAAAATATATATTTATTATTATTATTATTATTATTCATTATCTTATATTGTATTTTTGAAATAGAAATATATATATTCCTCATAGAATGAATAGTTGAAAATGCGAAATTGATTGTTTACTCATATTGATTTTGTTTTATATTTGTGCGAGTAATTTAGGAATTAGTATCAGAAAGGGTTTTGTGGAGATTGTAATAAATTCAATAGTTGAGATCATGAATCAATTGAAGCTAGATCATCATGGAAAACCTGGAAGCATTGGATGACCATTTCGTCCTATTGTGGGACTCTATATTAGTGCGCATCCACGATCACGTCTCGCAAGATTCGAACCCAGGACTTGTCGATCTCGCGTGCTAGCGCTTAGATAATAGACCACTGAGCTGACCGGCATCCAGCGGTGTTAATTTCTTCATCTGTAACTATCTCGTAATACCTGTATAAATCAGTCAGCTACAATGTAGGATCATGCAAATATATGTACCGGTCCAAGTTGTCGTTACCTCACTTGACTACATAAACTACGAAATACAGTTTCTAAAATAACATATTTTTCATCAGTTTAAATAATCAATACTTATAATTCTATCTATCATCAGCTTACTTCTACACTGATGAGTTTGTTTCAATTCTATTCTAAACTTACGATTGTATGTCAGATCAGTCAGTCGGTCAGCTACAACGTAGGATCAGGCACATATGTGCATCGGTCAAAGTTGCCATACATCATTAGCACAGCAAGATGAATACCGAATTCATAGGAGTAGTTAATTCAATGGTGGTAATATATAAAAGAAAGATTGCATATAAGGATATAGTACAGGAAGAAAGAATTAGTTGGTAGAAGGAAAGATATGAAGCGATTTTAATCTCACAGTTTAAGGGAAGAGTGTATACACTTACATCTCGTAATACCTATATATATATATATATATATATATATATATATATATATATATATATATATATATATATATATATATATATATATATATATATATATATATATATATATATATATATTCACAGACTGACCTTTGTTAGATGACCATCAAAATGTAGGACATACTGGTTGGCTATTTTGTCACAACATGGAACTCTTCAAAAGTACTCATCCATGATCCTAACGAGGATCGAACACAGAACCTTTGGTTTCACATTGAGCACTTAACCTGTTGTACTAATAAGCGTGTGCTCACTAGTAGACAACTGATAGAAATTTTTTTAGGAGTTCCATTATGAAGCTGTGACCATTAGAGTTCGACTATGTTGGGTGTAGGACAGTTATCCACAACATGTAAACTATTAACTTTTGCCTCTGTGATCTTAGAGAATAAACACTCTTCATAAGAAAAAAAGTCCTAAATTCGATCTCCATTAGGATTTTGGATATATAGTGCTTCAGAGTCCTATACTGAGAAAGAATAGATATCCAATATTTCCTGCATTTCAGTGATTGTCTAACAAAGGTTAGTCCGTAAATGTACATTTATACTGTTAACACAGCAATAAGAAGACATTGTCTATTTACCTAAAATTAACTTTATTATAAATAAATGAAAACTGATATGCCTCGATACAGGGAAGAAGCTGAATCCAACAGATGAAGATTTATTATGCACCCACAAAATGGCGGCCTGCTTGAATATCTGAGCTACCTGTTCCTGCCATCTGGATATTTCAACAAGTTTTATATTTTCTTGTTTGTTTTAACACATCGTTATGCCAATTGTTAGCACAACGTATTCAGGTGCGTTTTTAAAACTTTCACGACATTTCGCTGTACAAGTTACAAAAGAAATTAATCAGAGACATCGTGGTTGCTGGCAATATGCATCGGAAAGAACATACACTAATGAGATGTCGATTCCTCAACTGCTAACATCTAACTAGCGACCAATCAATATTTATCGCAAGGGTTGATCAAGAAATAAGGAAACTTATTGGAATGCTTTGTGTTGAGAATTCTATATTGTGCCAAAAACATGATTTTGAATAAAGCCAATAATAATAGTGATAAAAGTAAATTAGAGTCTTAGAGACAATTTAATGATGAAATAAAAATGAATTGAGATTTAGAGTTGATTAAGTTTATTTTAATAGATGATGATGGTATTAAAAATAAAACAGGATTTATAAAGCAACCACACTTTACGGTACTACCATACCCAACCCATACTTTGAAAACACCAATCATCATGGCATTTCTCATAGTTAAATAACAATACAGAGTAAACTGCTGTAGATGAATATCTTACCTGTGTCATTAATGAAACAATTTTGTGTAAGATATCTGATATTCTGTCAACCTTTAACGTACTAGGCAGATGAAATTTTAAAGATAAGTGAATTAGTTAACGCACACCATTGCTTCATTCTCTCTGATCAGATTAGACATTAGTCCAACGTTTTGAATTTGAAGGATGATAAATGCATTTCAAATAAGCTTTCGGGACTGTTTAATTAGTTCAACAAGTAGATTTTCTAGTAAGATTTGATTTTTGGGAATATCTGATTGTTGGGGTGATCCGGCAAATTTCTCACAAAAGACAAGCAAGGAGAAGGAAACGCTAAGAATCGTTTCCTCTAATCAGCGTTCATTTGAATTTTTAGCCAAAAATATCAAGGAAGTGAAACGTCACATGTAGAGGTTCTGATTGACTGGTTGCTATGCTGCTATTATGTTTTGTAGCATCCCAGAATCTTCTAGCAACCCAAGGACATTTAAAAACATTATAAAAACCCTATATTTTCTGTGTTAAAGTGAACCTTGGAGTAAAGTACTTCTCGCATATTTTGCGTCTTCTCTCTCGTTGTTCAGGTCGCTGTATAGTTCTAGCTTGGGGGTTACAGAGTAGCTTAGGAAACGAATATAGTGTTCAATTTGCAAGACTTATCACTGGTTCGTTCAAGTTCTAGTAGAGTGCCTTCAGGAAGTATGTGACCTTTTTGGTACAATCTTTCTCTAGACGAAGTCAATAAATATACTGAAGTTAAGCGCCGGTAAAAATCCTTATTAAAAAGGTGACCTTGCACAAGCTTACTATCGAGGAATCTACGTCTAGACCTAGAACGTTCCCAAGTTTTTCCATACATGATGTCTCTGAGTTTCGTTTGAATATTGAGTAACCATAGAGACCAAGATTATAGATAATTTACCAGTTAAACCGATACCTATGTGAGTTTTTTTAACACAAACTAGGATGATTGGACATCGAGACAGATCAAATCGGCTTTTTACTAATTCCTGAGAAGCAAGTGACTAGAATGGAGCCGGAGGCAAATTCAGTTATTTCTCAAAGTGTCTGATACACAGTTCCGGTAGGCTGACCTGAGGGCAGATAACGGTTCGTATATTTCAGAGGATGTCTTTTCTAATATTTGCCTTATGATATTGTTGTACATGATAATTCTAAACAGTTGTCGAGTGTTACCTATGTCACAACCTATTCCATGTTTTTCATTTTTGTTATATAACACAACTGATTATTCACGAAGAAAAGTTTTCGAGGACCTACAAAATTTACTATAAGCTTCCAGAACCCACTTGTTTTTTAAGTTTTTGAGACAAGTTGCTAACTGAGGTTAGTCCCATTTGTACCACAAACTCCTAATAACTACAGGCTACCTCTGAATAAAAACCCAGTACATAGCTGGACTATCGCTAAGTTGGTTTTCCACTAAAGGAACGTTTACATTTTTCATTTCGGAGTTAAGATCAAAGAGGTCATATTATTTGGAATTTTTAGAGACTAATATTTTGTAAATTCTAACCAACACCAGAGGGTGGTTAGAGTTTTAGTAATTTCTCTGTGAGAAAGGATAGACTTCTACCGACTCTCTGAAATCATCAATAACATTGTTATGGTTCATTTATGAGTTGCTATTATAGGTCACAACGTTGATCTATGTCTCGCTTCACCCTTCAAGT